ACTTGAAATTCATGCCCTTGTAATAAATTAAACTATCATGGAATCTCTAATGATAGAATTTTTCTAGTTCATTTCGAGCAAGCAAGGATCACTTCCAATTACCCATACATTAATAATGACTTTAATTCGACGAGTATTTTGAATCCATTAGTCTCACAACTTTCACTTAATTCTCTCAAAAGTAATAAAGGAATAGGAGGGTGTAGTCTCAAGGTTTCTTTGATAGGTTGGTTTAAGGTACTTTAATTGTTAAAACTCTATTTTATCAATATTTCCTTATTGTACAAAAGGAATTGATGTTTAGAATTCAAAATCAAGCTACCAAAATTATTACGAATTTTTTTTTTTTGGATTTGATTGTAACAAGAAATAAAATTTTCAAATGATGTCAACCTCGAAATGAAGACAATAAATCGAGGTATAGGGAAAGTAATGCGGTTACTCTAGAACCTCCCAATTATAGTCCATTAAGAATGTCTCAACCAACTCGGCGCATAATAAATACTTGTTTCATAAACCATTTAATTAGTTTGTCCGAAGCGTAAACTAACTAGTAATGCATGGAACTTTATGAAAAAAGTTTTGATTGATAGGGGAGAATATGCTATTTGTAACTTTTGTCGAAAAAGACTTCAAGCTAAATAGAATAGCTTGCCTTCTAAATAAGATTTGATTATGGCAAGGAAGGTTTGTAAGAAGCTTAAGTTGTTTTATAATGCAACCAAATCTTTTTTTAGCTACCAAATATCCCACTTTAAATTCTTACTTTTTTATAATATGTGAGATTAAGGAGGCTTTGGATAAGTGGATTTTAGAATCGGATGATGACTTTTTTCTTAAAATGAGAAAAAACATGTATCAAAAGTTTAACAAATATTGGAGTGATGTGCATTTGGTCATGGTTGTGATGATTATTTTGGATCCTAGGTATAAGATGAAAGCAATAGAATTTTTTTAAAACATTGTTTATGACGAATATGCATCCGGTGAGGGGTAAAATAGTGAAAAAATTATGTCATGATTTGCTTAATGAGTACAAAGATAGGTTTACTTGTTGATTCCCATATCTCTACTTATGCCACGTCAACTTCATCTATTAATATATTAGAAAATGATGGTTTTGAAGAGGAACAAAGTAGTCTTATAAGATTAGTTGAGATTCTTAGTGCTGAGTCATTTGATACACCTATACGATACGAATTGCATAATTATTTGGAGAAAAAAGTTTTGTCGTGGATCAAAGAATTTGACATTCTTGGTTAATGGAAAACAAATGGAATAAAATATCTCACTTTACAAATGATTGCTAGAGAATTTCTTGCTATTCTTGTCTCTACGAGTAATATATGAATTTATATTTAGCAATGGTGGAAAGGTAATTAGTTTGGATCAAAGCGAGTCTGTACAATGATACTTTGGAAGCTTTGATGTGCTTGTAGAGTTGGTTATGTGGTCAAGTAGAAGGTATGAATTCTCTTTATTATGTTACCAAAATAAAATTTATTTAAAGCTCATTTTGAATTATATTCTTTTATTTGTTTGTATTGTATTTATATAGATACTTCAAATACGATGAATTTTTTTCTCACATTGAGGAAATGCAAGTGAAAAACATCAAATCACATGTTGAATAATATAATGAAGACTAGTGATACTTGCACTAGAGTTTAACCAATAGCTTTAGTAGTAAGATTCATTCATGGGCATGAGCCTAATTAGTTTTTGTTCTACCTATTATAAAAATCAAAGCTAGTATCTCTCTTTTCTTTTTGCTTTTTAGACTTAACCAATCTAAATTCATTGATTGTTTGGTGCATCAAAGATTTTAAGTAATTGGCATCAATCGAGTGTAATGAGAATAGGATCATCGTTATTTAATGTATTTATCCTCTTTTTGATCCAAATCTTGATTTGATCGTGTTAATTCTACTTAAAAAAATCATCTTTATGGTCCAATTGATCAATATATATATGATGCCTAAACTATATGTCATTTTGAAGATCTTTTTCTCTAATTGCATTGCTTTGCATCTTTGTGGTCCAATTTTGTTTTTCTTTAAATAAAATTGAAAAAAAAAAAGATCTTTAATTTAAGAAAAAATAGTAATAGGTAAACGAGTATAGAAAAGGTATGGGCAAGGTATGATATAATGGGTATGAACTGGGTAAATAAACGAATGAGTGATTTTTAGTGGGTAATGTATACAATATTTTTTAGTGGATAGGGTATGAGATTGGCTTAATGGGTTGGGTACCCGCCCCATTGCCATCCTTAATTAAACCTTCAATCAATGTCTATTAATATTTTTCATCAATGTACATATTTTATACAATGAAATGTTAATGTTTCAAAAGAAAAAAAAAACACGGGAGAGAAACTTGGATAAAAGGATCCAATTAAGCAATTTACGAAAATCTAAAGAGAAAATTGACAAAAGCTTTTGTTTTGGAATGAAATTGAGAATTAGGCATGTCCATCTAGGCAAACGCAACGTACACCTTGATGTATACTTTTCATTCCTAGTGGTCAAAATAAATCCTTAACGTACTTGTTTGATTATTAGGAATTGATGAGAATGAGAATAAGAATAAAAGTTTTATTTCTATTTTATAGCTGTTTGATCGAAAAGAACGAAGTGTGAATGAGAATGAAGAGTATAAATAAAAATAAAAATTACACATATATTGATTTTCATATAGAACGTGGGAATAAAAACAAAAAAATAAGAATGAATTTTTTTCTTCAAAATAATAATATATTATGTTTTTAATTGTATATTAACAATTTTTACCACCGCGACTACTACCGCCATCACGACCACTAATACCATCAATATCACCACCACTACTATTATGTCTATTATTTTTACTATCATTGTAGTTAAAAAAATTATTTTTTAATTATTATTCTTATTCGTATAAAAAAATAGATATTAAAAATTTTAAATATCATTCGATTGTTTATTAATATTTTAAACACAATATAAAAATAAAAATATTATTTTAATTTTAATTTTAATTCTTATATTTTTTTTCGATTTTTTATTTATGTCAATCAAACGAAAAAGAAGAAGAAAGAATCACCTCTTGCTTTTGCTTACGAGAATAATATTCAATCAAACACATATTGTACGCTAATGACAGCAAATCACTTAAAAGTATCCAATCAGATAGAAGTTTGTTTGTATTAAAAAGATCATGAGGTGATTGACTGAGAATTGAAAAAAGGAAGGCAATGAGATAAGATCTAAAAACATTTTCTACTCATTTTGATTTTAGCCGTTTGGGTTATAAGAATCTGCAGCCTAATTTTATTCTTCTCAATTTGAGCAAAGAATGGGATGAGAATCTGGAATGAATCCGCGTGGCAAGAAACCATCACCAAAGCTGCCCCAAAGAAGAAGATGTCATAAAAGATCTACCCAAGTGGAAACCAGTCCATCTTGTTTAGTCAATTAAATTCCACCTGTCAATAAAACCCAAACAGTCTGTGGTCCAGGGTCCCACAATAATAATTATTAAAAAAAACACAGTGGTCATTTCAGTAATTTCGAATCACAACAACTAAAGTAGATCAAATCCCATCATTATCGATTAAAATCTGTGTAATAATAGGATACTGGTGATTATTAATTAACAATGACAAGATGACAAGAAGAAGAGTTTATTTCCAAGCTTTGGCGGGATGTCCCTTTTCTTCCTAAGTCTCAAGACCCATCTAATCCCATCTATCTTCTCTCTCCTGGAATTTCAATCTCTGCAGTCACCCGACTAAATCTAGAAATCTTAGGAAGCTGATATTTCACCTTCAAGCACACCTCCATTTCAACTTATTCTTAAATTAAATAAATCCATTATAATTAAACCCATAAGCCTCTCTCTATGATAACACGATCTTAAATTCTTATTCACGTTATAGACTATGGACTATAGACCACACTCTTAAAAAAATCCCAACCACCTAAAAAACACAAAACACTAAACATTACACAATTAACAAAGTAAAACATAACCTAACCCAAAACCTCTCTCTCTCTCTCTCTCTCTCTCTCTAGACTCAAGAGGGACAGAGTGTGAGACAACACATTCGAAAGAATTGAGAAGGATAACCTTCCCTGTAAAGATTTCCTACTCTCGCTTCCGCCTTAAGCACCTGTAGATCCACAAGTTAGTGCCCGCTTCCTCTCATTTCATCACACTCGACAACTGTCACTGTCTAATCATCTTTCTTTTTAAAATGAAATTTGTTTGATCTGAATCTCAAGTCTCACTTAGATTTTTTCCCTGCCTGCATTTTCTGTTTTGTGCATTTCTTGCCATTTTCTCTTTAAATTCTAATAAGGTAAATTTCTTCTACTGTTTTTTTGCTCTTGTTTGGCTTTTAGTTGCAGTGATTTCTTTTTTAATAGTGTAATAGACTTAAAGGGGTGCAATTTTGTCAACATTTAGTCAGGCACTTGGCTTTGGAGTCGCTTTTACTCTATTACTCTTTCTTATCGGTCTTCTCATTGTTGAAGTGGGTGGCGCATTTGGTTCTTATTTGTCGTCTTCTACTGTTCAGTTTTGAAAAATATTCTGTGTTTTTACAGGGTTTAGATCGGACCTGCCTTTTCTAGCAGTGGGCATTTTTCAACTCCTTTTGGGTTTGGCTTTCTAGAAAAGTTAGTGCATCAGGTACGAGTTGTTCTTTCTCGTTCTTTTTTTCTGTTTTTTTTGGGTTGGGGGTTGGGGGGGGGTTGGAGACATGCATTCTCCTGTATTCTTTTTAGTTGCTTAGAAATGGAGCAAAATAAGTTGCTGTAGTGTTCATTGTGTTGTTTACTCAAATTAACCTGATCGAAATAGTTTGGCCAGTAGTGGCTAGCTCAAGGATCTAAGTTACATGAATTTGCATTTGGGGTTGGAGCTTACCTTTTTCGTGGTTTTTTGGCGTGTTTATGATTTCTATAGTTCTGCGATTTGTAGGATCACAGTGGTGGCAGTGTTGTGAATATTGCTTTATGTGTCTGGTGACTGTGCGTGATCTTGCGCAGGGTTTGAACTGTCTTCGAGTTGATGATAAATTAGTTTTTTTTTTTTTTTCAGCAATGTCGAAGATTACTAAGTGGAAGATTGAGAAAACTAAAGTGAAAGTGGTCTTCCGGCTGCAGTTCCACGCCACGCATGTAAGATTTGGTCTTCACAATGTTAATATCTGTCTTGCTTTTGCTTGGTACTATCTTGTGCATTTTATTAAATCACTCGAGAACACACAGAAAAGTTTGCTTATAGAACTCCATCAATTTTTTTTTATTGAACTAGGTTTATGCATATAGATATCGGCTGTGTTTATACTCATACACAGGCTTTTCAATAATTAATGTGTTACATTAATCACCTAATCAGTTGTGCATTCACCAAGCTGACATATTCGTTGATGACCTGATTCTTGCCTTCCATTTATTCTGTTGTATAATGTGATAAGAGTGGCGAATGGCACAAGTATTTATCATCTTGGTTGCAAAATTGGAGCATTGGCTTGGTGAAAACTGTGAGAGTGGGGGTGCACATATTTAAAAAAATACTCAGCATTTTAAAATTTATAAACAGAAAAAAAAAATTATTGTTATTTTCCATCATTTTCAATCATACAGAAGTTTATTACTCTGCAACCAAAACCAAAACAAATACCCGAAGACATGTACAGGTTTTGTTTGATGCTTAACAGAAAGGGTGAAATATGTTGTTCATGTCATTCACTGTTTTGCATAATATTGAGTTTGAGCTTTGTTATAACCGTGGCTTAGTTGAGTATTTCCTGATTGATTGAAAATACTGTCTTATCTTTGCATCTGGCAAATATAGATCTCTGCAATGACAAATCTCTTATCCTTCTTACGTCATACAGATTCCTCAATCGGGATGGGATAAAATTTTCATATCTTTTATTCCTGCTGACTCTGGAAAAGCAACTGCAAAAACAACCAAAGCCAATGTAAGAAACGGGACCTGCAAATGGGCAGATCCTATCTATGAGACCACAAGACTTCTCCAAGACATTAAAACCAAGCGATATGATGAAAAGCTCTATAAGCTTGTTATAGCGATGGTAATATCTTATTTCCTCTATTTTATCACGTGGCCCCTTTCCATCTTTGTAATAGATTGTTCTTTACTGCATGTCAATTCACTGAGATTAATTCTATTTGACCTGAATCTGACTAACATCAGGGTTCATCACGGTCTAGTGTCCTTGGGGAGGCTACAATCAACCTTGCTGATTATGCTGATGCATTAAAACCTTCTGCCATTGCCTTGCCTCTTCATGGATCTGATTCTGGAACTACTTTGCATGTGAGAATTTCTAATATCCTTCCTTAAATAATGTCGTTTTAAGCAAGTTGGTTTAATAATGTACTTTTAATGGGTCTAAGATGAGATATTTGGGCAAGACTAATTGTATTTACTCTTAAGATATATCTTATTCTGGCCTGTTTTAGGATTTTTCTCAAGTTTTGGAGATTTATCGTTTACTCCAAAATGTCTTAATGGTTGTGTTATTCATTTCTAGGTCACTGTACAGCTGCTCACGTCAAAAACTGGTTTCCGGTAATAATACAGAAAAACATGCAAACTTAATGTTTTGTCTACTCCAACCACTTATCTGCAATTTTAATTGCTTTCAGAGAGTTTGAGCAGCAGAGGGAGCTCAGAGAAAGGGGATTGCAGACTGACCAAAATAGCCCTGACGAATCCTCTGGTGGAAAAGTATCATCTTCTGAAGGGATAATCAATGATCAGATAGATAAGGTTAGGTCATTTATTTTGTTCACATATCCATGCTTATGTTGCACATTATGAACTAATTTCTCAATTTTTCCTGAATCTAAATGAATGTTGTGTGCTCTGTTGACATAACCTTGTAAGTAGTAACTTCCGTTTCCTCTTGGTAACTTTGACCTGACTTCTAGCTGCATATTCTTGCTTACACATTTTCCTCTTAAAACTATATCTCTCTTGCATTGTTCATGCCTTACGTCAGCTGTTGGATAATAAGATCCGTTTTAAATCACTGGGGTGTCCTTTTTTTTGCGTTTGTTTTAATAACTGAGTTGATGCAATTGTAGAATTTGAGGAAGTATGCATGCACATCCTATCGGTACTTTTGAGTTGCCATGTGAACCAAAGTCACTTGTTGTTTATATTTGAAGTCCCTTTTATTTTGCCAGTGTTTCTCGATGATTGAAATGGTTCTCTTTCATTGTGATTCAAAGCAATAATGAGGTTATTTATCTTTTGGCCTGATTTATAGGTAAATATCAGAGTTAGATTTAAAGAAAAATCTAAAGACCTCGCTTCACTCGAAGAAGAGGTGGGGCCAAAAGAAGAATATGCAGACTCGGCTGCTGGATTTGAGGGCTCTTCCAATACTTCAGAGAGTTTATACGCAGAGAAGCATGATACTTCTAGCACACATGAAATTGAAAGCCTTAAGAGTACCATCTCTGGTGACTTAGCTGGACTTTCCCTTAGTCAAAGTCCTCAGCTGGAGAAAGGGGATCCTTCTGATCATCGATTTTTGGCTCAAGGGACGAATGATTGGGTTCATGCCTGGAGTTCAGACTATTCTGCAGATAATGACTTGGCAGCTGCTTATGAAGAGAACGGTAGACTTAGAGGAAGCTTGGAAGTGGCTGAGTCATCTATTCTTGAGCTTAAACAGGAGGTAAGCTCCTTACAGGGTCATGCTGATGAAATAGGTCATGAAGCCCAAAAATTTGCTAAGCAACTTGCTTCTGAGATTGCTTCTGGCGAAGAGATGGCGAAAGAGGTGTCCGTACTGAAGTCAGACTGCTCAAAGTTGAAAGATGATCTTGAACGGGTAAAGGTTTATCGATTATGCCCTCCATTTAGCAGCAGAAATGCTACAGAACCCAGACAGGATCACAGATTTCAAGATTTGCAGCCCAGATGGCTAAAGGGGCTTTTATCCATGGAAGATAAGATAAAAGAGCTTCAAAAGAAGGCATGCTTGGAATACCATGAAAGTGACTTGAGATCCCTGTGCTCGGACATGGAGGAGTTGTTTGGCGTGCTGCAGAATCTCAAGCAAGGAACAGGGCTGCCAATTTCCAGTATCCACTTGGTTCCTTCTGAAGGATCTAGCCTGAAGGAGATCAGAGAAATGAGTTTACATAAACATGACCAGTTTGGAAGTGAATCTGGGTTTGATGTGGACTTATATCAACCAGAACTAGGCATGCTTCATTGTCTTAATATTCCTGGCCTGGTGTCTCATGAGCCTGATTCTATAGATACTACCAATGCAATGAAAGGAAAAATATTTGAACTTCTGAGGGAATTGGATGAATCAAAAGCTGAACGAGGGAGCCTTGCAAAGAAAATGGACCAGATGGAGTGTTACTATGAAGCTCTTGTCCAGGAGCTCGAGGAAAATCAGAGGCAGATGCTGGGGGAGTTGCAAAATCTCAGAAGTGAGCATGCTACTTGCTTGTATACAGTTTCATCCACAAAGGAAGAGATGGAGACAATGCGTCAAGATCTGAATGACCAACTATTAAGACTTGTTGAAGAAAAAAGTGATTTGGATTCTCTGAACAAGGAGCTTGAAAGGAGGGCTGTTACTGCAGAGGGAGCGCTCAAAAGGGCACGCCTGAATTATTCTATTGCTGTCGACCAGTTACAAAAGGACCTGGAACTGCTCTCAGTCCAGGTTTTGTCTATGTTTGAGACTAACGAGAATCTCATCCGGCAAGCTTTTGTAGACTCTTCACAATCAGGCCTTGAAGGAAACCCAATAACCACAGAGAGCCAAAGATCTGATTCAAGGGAAGCTCGTATGGGGAAACTCTTTCAGTTCCAAAATCAGTTCTTCGGGATAAAGAAACAGCAGTTGGGTGGTGATATTCCTTTAGGTGATCTGAAAAGATCACTACATTTGCAGGAAGGGCTTTACAGGAAGGTTGAAGAAGAAGCTTGTGAAATGCATTTTGCAAATCTATACTTGGATGTACTTTCAAAGGCTCTACAGGAAACTTTGCTTGAAGCCAATGATGATGTCAATTGTATGAGAGAGAAAATAAACGAACTTATGCAGCAGCTAGAGCTTTCAATTGAGTCCAAGGAGTCGTTGTTGAAAAAGCTGCACTCTGCATCGAATGATGTTCATGCCTTAAATGAGCATAGGGCTACTTGCATTGCCAAGTGCAATGACATGGCTCAGCAAAACCAAGTTTTGGAAGCAAATTTGCAAAATGTCACATGTGAAAACCACCTTCTTTTGCAGAAGATTGCTGAATGGGAGTCTCTAGTGATGCAATACAGAAGCTACGAGAGCATGTATGAGGCTTCTGCTGCAGAGAGAACAGAGTTGGCTTGTTTATTGGAAAATAAAACCCTAGAAAATTGTGATCTTCAAAATGAGATCTTCTCTTTGCAGGAAGAGCTGAAAACTTTCAGAAGTGAATTTAATGATCTGGCTTCTGTGAAGGAAAAGCTGCAGGATTTAGTCAATTTCATGGAGAGTAAGTTGCAGAACTTGCTGGCATCCTATGACAACAGTATCCATGGACTGCTTCCTAGTGAATCTGGCTATCAGGATTTAGAGTCCTGGGATTTAACTGGTCTCATGATGCAACTTGAAGAGCTTCAGCATAATTCATGTGAAAAGATTCTCCAGCTCTTGGAAGAGAAGAAAAGTCTGGTTCACGAGAGAGAGATTGCTCAAGTGTCCATCGCTGCAGCTAAATCAGATATTGCATTGATGAAACAGAAGTTTGAATGTGATATACAAAACATGGTGGATAAATTCGACGTGTCAAATGCTTTGATGCAGAAGCTTCAGTTGGATGTTGAGGGCATTGCTGACAAAATGAAGGTTAGCTCTGAAGTTGAAGATAAATATGCACAGCAGCAGAATGAGCTTTTGTCTGATCTTGATCGTCTGGAAGTTCAGTTGAAAGAACTTATTTCTAAGAACAGGGACCTTGGTCATGAAATCTTGGCATTAGATACAGTTGCTAGTGAGCTTGATAAGACTAAGCTGACTGCAGCAGAACTCACGAAAGAAAACCAAGCTTTGATGGCTTCTATACGGGATAAAAACGAGGCGTCCTCCAGGATTGCCTCAGAACTCGATAGTTTGAAAGGAAGTTTGCGATCTCTGCACGATGAAAACCAAGATTTGATGGCATCTTCACTAGATAAGAAGGAAGAGTCTGTTCAGCAGGCTTCAGAGTTGAGCAACTTGAAAAATAGGATAGAATCTCTGCATGATGAAAATCAAGCTCTGATGGAAAGTTTACGGAATAAAACTGAGGAAGCTGCCAACCTTGCATCAGAACTAAATTGTTTGAAAGAAAATTTGCGATTTGTGCGTTGTGAAAACCAAACTTTGATGGTATCTTCACTTGATAAAGAGGAGGAATCTGCCAAGCTTGCATCGGAACTAAACAGTTTGAAAGAAAGTTTCCGGATTCTGCATGAAGAAAATCAGGCTCGGATGACATCTGCAAGGGATGCAAAGGAGGAATCTACCAAGCTTGTGTCAGAGCTAAACAGTTTGAAAGAAACTTTGCAATCTTTGCATTGTGAAAAACAAGCTTTGATGACATCTTCACAGGATAAAACTGAGGAAGCTTCCAAGCTTGCATCAGAGCTGAAGATTTTGAAGGAGATTTTGCAATCTTTGCATGATGAAAACCAAGTTTCAATGGCATGTTTGCAGGATAAGACAGAGGAATCTGCCAGGCTTGCATCAGAGCTGAACAGTTTGAGAGAATGCCTGCAAACTTTGCAAGATGAAAAGCAAGCTTTGAAGGTGTCTTCACTGAATAAAACTGAGGAGTCTGCCCAACTTGCTTCAGATCTGATCAGTTTGAGAAAGAGTTTGCAATCCCTGCACGATGAGCTGCATGATGAGAGAAGCTTGCGAGAGGGGTTACAGAGTACAATAACGGATCTGACTTCCCAATTAGACGAGAAGCAGTGCCAGTTGCTCCGATTCGATCACCACGAGTCTGAATTGACTCGTACCAAACACTTGGTATCAGATCTAGAATCTGAAAAATCAAGAGTTTGCCGTCTTTTGTTGCAGTCTGAGGAATGTCTTAATAATGCTCGTGAAGAAGCTTCCACTGTTTCTGCACTCAAAACTCAGTTGTCTGAGATGCATGAACATTTAATAGCTTCCGATATTCGATTCATTTTTGCGAAGACTCAATATGAAGGCGGAGTTGAAGTGCTTCTTCATCAACTGCACTCCTCAGATACGCAACTTGCCCAACTTCAGAAGAAGCATCTTGACATGGAAACTATCCTTAATCGCTGTCTTGCCAGTGAAACCCAATACATTGAAGAGAGAGCTAGGTTGTTGACAAATCTCAACTCGTCTCAGTCTGAGCTAGAGGCTTCTATTGCTGAAAACGGGTTACTTGTCGAGGCAAACAGAGTTGTAAGAGCTGAGCTCAAGGAAGTAAAAAATAATTCTCAAAATGTTGTGCTTAGTTATTTTGAGGATAAAACTCAGCATTCTGAAGAGGTTAAAAAGCTGAAGTGCATGTTGGTGACATCTGAAGGAGAGATTGATAATCTGGTGTTCTCCAAAGTTGAGCTGGAAGTAAAAGTTCTTGTTCTTAAAGCCAAATTGGATGAACAGCAAGCACTGATCATTACACTTGAAGGATACTCTGATGAATTAGTGATGCTGCAAAAACACTGCAATGAGCTTAATCAGAGGCTTTCTGATCAGATTTTGAAGACAGAAGAATTCAGAAACTTGTCTGTCCATTTGAAAGAGCTCAAAGACAAGGCTGATGCTGAGTGTATCCAGGCTCGTGAAAAAGAGAACCTGAAGGCCCGCCAGTAGCCATGCAGGAGTCCTTGAGAATTGCATTTATCAAAGAGCAGTATGAAACAAGGCTTCAAGAACTGAAACAGCAGTTGTCCATCTCCAAAAAGCACAGTGAGGAAATGCTATGGAAATTACAAGATGCCATTGATGAGATTGAGAATAGGAAGAAATCTGAAGCTTCTCATCTGAAGAAAAATGGAGAACTGGGAATGAAGATCTTGGAATTAGAGGCTGAGTTACAATCTGTAATTTCTGAAAAACGTGAAAAAGTGAACGCTTATGACCTGATGAAGGCTGAAATGGAATGCTCATTAATAAGTCTCGAGTGCTGTAAGGAAGAAAAACAAAAACTCGAATCTTGTTTGGAAGAATGCAACGAGGAGAAGTCAAAAATTGCTGTTGAACTCTCGCTGATGAAAGAATTGGTAGAGAATTCCAAATCACCAGGGAACGTGCAGGAAGAACAGAATGATGAATCTTGCGAAGTGGATTGCTTTTCTGATGAGCCAGTTATCAGAAATGCCAACCACCAAAATTTAATTTTAGACATGTCAAGCTATGAAAGAAAAAGAGTACGCACAGTCCCTTTGAATGGTCTAAGCAGGGATTCAAATCAGAAGTGCTTGGGAAGAGATAGTATGAGGAATTTTGAAGAAGCAGAACACGCATCCCCTGCTTCTGTTGGCAGAGTCGATCATTCAAGCACACTCATGAATGAGCAACCTGAGCAGGTAATGAATGAAACGAAAACTTGGCAGTCACCTTGTTGAAAATTTGTTCTGCTTATCTTAAGTTCAATTATGTTATTGCAAGAGGATAATTAAGTATATACATGATTAGTTCACGGTAACAGATATTGATCCGTGCTACCGTAAATTGTGAAGAAAATTCAATCTTTCTGAAATGAATCATGTTGCATATCCACAATTGGAATTTGTTAGATGCTGCCTGTGTACCTGTATTCATCGTTTCACTTATTTTGTCATTTAGTGATGCGTTGGTTAAACACAAGCCTTTGATTACTCTCCCAAAAGTCTGAGCTTTGCCATCTGAAGTTTTGTTACTTTCCAGTGAAAAAAATAACGGAAATTTATTCTGGAACAGTTTGTCGAATGAAAGGAAAAGAAAATAGTACATTAAATGTAATCGTGAGTGAATATCTGTGTCCTTTTGTTATCGTGGGTTTTGTTTTGCAATGTTTTAGTATCTTTTAGTTTTTTTACTTGCTTGAAATTCTTGTTTACTATTGGTATTTGAGCATTATTGATTAGTCAATGGTTTGAAGTAAATCATATGTTTAGGCGAGGGCCAATGAAATATTTGAATTTCCATAAAAAAATTGTATTTTGGTGTCCTTATCCTTCAACCTCTCTGTATTGCAAAATTTACGAAGATGGAAGGTTTGCCTCTTAACTATTTATTTGTGTAATCGCTTATCAGGATGTTCTTGTATTGTATGGAGCAAATGGGCTTAAAAATTCTGCACTCATAAATCAAGACAGGTTGTCGCATAGTGACGTGAAGCATTTAGCTATCATCAATGATCATTTCAGAGCTGAAAGTTTAAAGTCTAGCATGGACCACTTAAGTAATGAGGTACACATATCTGCACTCAGAAGCCATGGGAGATGATGCCTATGGATTGCTATCTAATGTTTATTTTTTCTTCTGCATGCAGTTAGAAAGGATGAAAAACGAGAATTCACTTCTTTTGCAAGATGGTCATGATTATGACCAAAAGTTTCCAGGTTTACAAAGCCAATTTATGAAACTACAAAAGGTAAGTTGGTTATTATCCCTGCTTTTCAGTATAATAGTTCTTTTCATCTGAACACTTAATTTTATGCTCGTTGCCAGGCCAATGAAGAATTGGGAAGCATTTTCCCCTTGTTTAATGAATTCTCAGGGAGTGGAAATGCATTAGAAAGGGTGCTTGCACTAGAAATTGAGCTTGCTGAAGCATTGCAAGCAAAGAAGAGATCAAGCATTCTTTTTCAGAGGTATGCCATTTAATGCAGCTATGAAAATACCTCTGACACTAGAATTCCTTTTGGCATTGGTAGAAACATAGAAAATTCTCTTTCTATCCTTGTTCCTTTGCCTTGTACTAGATTGCATGGTGGATGGCTAAACTTGTTCAAGAACGATCAGAATGAAATTTTCACATAATTTTTTGATAGAATCTTCCTTCGTATTGGAAACATATAATTGGTGCTGCTATACACTACAGGAGTTAACATAATCTAGGATAAGACCTCAGAAAACAGAAAGCTAATGAATATGAAAATTTTCCTTTCTGCTCCAGTTCTTTCTTGAAACAACACAGTGACGAGGAAGCTGTATTCAAAAGCTTTAGAGACATCAATGAGTTGATTAAGGACATGCTGGAACTAAAGGGAAGGTATACAACTGTGGAGACTGAACTAAAAGAGATGCACGACCGCTATTCTCAGCTCAGCCTTCAATTTGCAGAGGTCGAAGGTGAGAGGCAGAAGCTCATGATGACTCTCAAGAATGTTAGGGCATCAAAGAAGCCCTATACTTAAGCCTCTCGAGGGGACCATTCCTCTTGGCCATTTTGACAACCCTCCTTTGGTTCCTTTTTTACAGCCTCAGAAATCCCATTTGCTGAGTTCCGAAGTTAATATCCCTATAGTCCCTCCCACCATTAATTAATTATGTAGATGGCTGGTCGCTGTTCATTGGTTAATTAGCTGTCTCAAGTCAAGTTGCAAATACGACAAGCCTGCAATGGGATGCCGAAAGTGTAGAAGCGGTTGTATCGTCTGTAAATAAAATCGTATTTTGCTGGTTGTTAGCATCGTAAGGTATAGTTCTTATAACATTATGACCTTTTTTCTCTCCTGTAATTCATTATATTGTATAGTAAATCAATTTTTTTAATCAGCGAAACCAGTTTTGGTTCATCTCTCAAAAAGCTAGCAAAATGCCTTGAACCAATTCCTCCCCGTTGTTCCGCAACAAATGTCTTCCCTCTAATCTACTACTAGTGTTTTCTTATTCATTCGTGAAATTTTCTTTTTGGTGCCGGAGCATACAGAAGCCATTCTTGAACAGGGTTTCGTAATTAAATAACCTTTGTTAAAGCTAAAACTTCACTTAATGGATGCACTTGCCTAGCTATGTGATGCAAATCATAAGAGAGATCTTGACAAACTTGATTAGGGGCAATAAAACATGATCTTTGATTAATTTATAGTCAAGAACTAATAATATTTTGCAATTAAGAACTTGCTAAATGGCGATATAATCATTTGATTAATTTCTTTATTGAAAACCAGAAAGATTTCAAAATTAAGGTCCATCAGGTATCCTGCTGTACTTTCCTTGTCCCTTTTCAGAAGGCAGTGATTACAACAGATCAAGCAAAACCATAATTTCTTGTACAAGTGCCTCTGCTTCATTCCTCTTTCCTCCCCCTTTACTTTTTGTAGGCAGAAGAAACACCATGGCCTATACATCAACTAAACCTCTAATTCACAATGACGTTTTTTTTCCCTTGCATTTGCAAACACTAATGAATGAACTACAAAGTAGTGTGCTAAAGAAACAAAAGATGAAAGCAACAGGGACATGTTGGCGATGGACCTTCGAGTTTTTGTTTCTAAAGCCACTTGAAATTTGGAGTTCCAACAGCTGAAGCGCTTCAGATTTTTTTTTTTACTTGCAACTACAAGATTGAACATGAGCACCCCTCCCGCCATTCAACATCACTACGATGATCACCTGTAAAATATACACAAGTGTTAGTTCTTTGGGTGCTGAATAGCACTATTTAAAGATATCTTAGCCTCTTCTCAATTAATTAAGTCTGACTAAGAGCAATGCATTTAGTTGATGCGCACGCACGTACTTCATTGAAACATCAAAGACTTCAGGGTGGTAATACAAGGTAAAAACCATGAATAATTATCACAAACAGTATAGTTTATTATCATCATAATCCACAAAGATACATGTTTTAAGCACAACCTGAAATTCTAACTACAGCATGCTATGTGGATTAATTACCCACCATTGCTTCTCTGTGGAACAGGAGGACGCAGAACAACATGTATGGTGACGACACCTGCAAGAAGGTCACCAGCAGGAAGTCGGGACTCAGCAAGTGTTCTATGGTTTTCCAGTACATGTCCAGCATATATAAGCTTCACATCTTTTATATTCTTTGGGCCATTTTCCTTGTCTGGTGAAGTGAGACAGGATCATATAAGAAAATGCAAGCCAATTGGGTATCAAAATGAAATTTGGTAATCACACTAAACTACAAAACATTTCAAGATTTAGGGCAAGAAACTTTTCTACACGAACCTTTTCTAAATTGTTACTTTTTCTCTGTATTTGTACAAGCTCACACAAAAAGGAAAGAGAAATAGCAAGATATTTGCCAATCACCACCAGACGTAAGCTTTGGGATTACTATCATAAGGGAAATGCAGGATAGGAGCTTTAAAGCATTAGAATAACACAAGTTTAGATTAAGCCATTAATAATCCAAATTACAAACTTCAACATTCAAAACTTGGCATTGTAACCATTCTCATTCACTTTTCATACATGCACTGGAAATCACAGAGTGAGATTTTGTTGTCAGCTACAACTAACTTGAACCTCACAACAACTACTAACAAGGACAGCATTAGCCTTTATCTACATCAGGCTTCCTTACAGCACCCAGCAAATTATTTGAAAAACAGTACTTACATTTTCTTTAGTATAACCAATTTGGCAAGTAAATTATCTAAATCTGGTGGGTTTCATTTCTTGCAGAGTATTTAATGTTCTAATAGAGTCCGAGATAGCAGAATTGGTTGCATGTTGGAGAAGTAAAATAAGAATAAATTCATCTAACTCGTGAAATAACTTGCAAAACCGCGTGAAGGCAATTAAAAGGTATACAGGGAAGATGAACTCAGCGTCTACAAGGTATGCAAGATGAAAAATATTAACATCAAAGATTCCGAGTAAAATACAATCATAAAGGACAAGAATAAAGCCTTAAAGAAAAGAAAAACACTATCTAAGTTTTGAAGCAATGAATCAAAAACTAAGAAGCATAAGCTCAAAGAGGTCAAACACAGATAGTTCTGGTAATTCAAGAAGCATTCAAGTCAATCACTACTACAGGTGAAAAAGATTTGTAACCTTTTGGCCATTGCTCAATTACATGCTCTTTCAGCGTCGCCACAGTGGCTGCTGCAGTGTACTTGTTTGGCCCAATATCATTGCCATCTGGTAGCCTGAATCTGAGGTCAATCAAAGTTGGTGCTGCCATTGACGAATCTCTTACCGGAACCCTACCTCAAAACAAAATCTATTAACTCCCCCGAAAAAAGATAACACCCTTTACAATCTACTGAAGATCCAAGTACGTATCCTTCACTGCAGAGTCTCTTTCAAAAGGACTTTCAACAGCGACAAAGGACTCACTGATTTGCTGTCAATAGAAAACCGCAATAAAAAAATAAAACAACTAGAACCCAGATCAAATATAGTGATTTTGACCTTGGAATCCAAGAAAGAATCAATCTTTCAATTGATCTTGATTGAAAAGGAGGGTTCTTTTCACTTGAGAATGAACTTTTGAATGCCCCAGATTCTATTTCTTGATGCCACAACAAGAGGGATGTTAGTGAATGATGAGAAATGTATGCGAGAGCTACCCAAAGAATGAAGGAGAGGCTGGCTATTGAATTTCTTGATGTAGAAGGAAATAGAAAGAGAGGAAACTTTCAGAGTCAGGGTGCTGTTCTTTTTACCCGAATCTAACTGAAAAAATCCAAATCGAAGAATATCGAAAATGACACTTTAGTTTTGTTGCTTCATTCTTGTTTTTATTCCTTACTGGATAATAATTTTGACTATGTACTTTTTTCTGCTTTTAATATATACGATTTTTATTTTAAAAAAATACTATAATAACATGCTACAATTATCTCCATCCCCACTCTGTCCATTTGGTGGCTGAATTCGCGGAGAATCTTTATGAAAAATGAAAGAAAGAGAAAACAGAGGAAGTGAGATTTTTGCTTCTCAAGATTTTGGTTGGAGGGCTCTTAGGATCAAAAAGCAAATAATAAATTAAATGGCAAAAAAAAAGAAAAACCGGATCTGTTAGTAAAATAACAGTAAGCACTAAGTTACAGTACTGTCTTCTTCTTTTTGAAAAAAAAATAATTTTTGAAATAATGGAGACTAATTAATTAATTTCGTTAGATTCCAAGAACTAATTTATATTTACTCTTGTAATTTCAGAAGCATAAAATTTATCGTTTGATGGGTCTCATTTCTTGTATAGAAATCGACGCCTTCTTTCACGATTGAAAAGTCAATTATTTGATAATTCACGTACAAGGAGATTCAAAACAAAAACAAATGGTTTTCTGACAGCTGCATCCCTTGAAGTGAAACAAAGTCACAGAATACCAATCATTAATCTGGTAATAGCTGCCCCAAAAGGTCTTCATGGCCCAGTTCAAGTCAATAAGAAATTAGAAGTACCCCTTGCCAGTTGCCACGTATAAAAAGTCATGGGGGTCTTGTCTAGCACAGTGCAAGCTCTAGAAAGATTGGATGTTGACCTAATCTCAATGACCAGCCAAGGCATCCTCCTGGTCAGCTGGGCCCTCGAGAGTGTTAGGAAAATGAGTGGTCGTTCCGGTAATTTACTTGCCGAAACATTTGAATGCAAAGTAGTTCAAGGAAGTTACAGGTCAAATCCTACCTTCCATGTCACCCTCCTTTTTTCAATTGTTTTCGAACGACGAGTTAGGCTGGAACCTTAATTCATTTAAATGTGTTGGGCTCACTATTTCAATAGGCTTGTGGCTTAATGGGACCACGCCAATTCTTCAAAAAAGAGCATCTATGGGCTTATTTTCAGAGCATTGTTAGGCCATGAATGGATTGGGCTTTGTTTTATACAAGATCTGTTACACGACAGTAAGTTGTCCAGATTTGTTACCTAACAGAAATTTGTTTGGATTTGCCACCTTATCTTGTATATGTGTATATATAGACCTGTAAGTTGTCCAGATTTCTCATTATTGAACCGAATCTTGCATCAACTACCGAAACGGACTTCCACTAAAGGGAAAGGATAAATAATAGCATATCTGTACTCCCAAGCTTGAGTAAAGATAAAAGCTTTACTATCAATTTAGTTTATTTTAACTCTAAATTATTTTTTAAAAAATATTTTTTTGTCTTTTTCTATTATATTTAACAGTCAAAATTTTAATAGTTGATTGAAATGTTTAAAGTGACATCATTTTTATCATTTTAATTTTTTTTAACGCTAAAAATTATTTTATGAAAATAATAATAATAATTACATAAAAGAAATTGGGACTAGATTAGGAAAAGTTATTCAAGTAATTTTTTTGTAATTATTAAATAATTTTTCCAAAAATAATTTTAAGTGTAAGAAAAATAAAATAATCAATTAGTTTTTTATGCTTAAATTTATTTATAAAAGAGAATATTTAATAATTGCTTAAAACATAATTTGTCCTAGGTTAGTGAAAGCTATTCAAGCAATGTTTCTTATAGTTATTAATTAATTCTTTTTCTGAAAATAATTTTAAGTATTAAAAAAATGTTTAAAACAAGATAGTTAATAGTCAAAATAATAATTAGAATTTATTTTAGTTAATAGTCAAAATGTTGACCGTTAAACATAATTAGATGAAAATAAACTAAATTGATAGTTTAGAATTTATTTTGCCAAAACTCATAATGGTTTATAAGTAGGATATGACATTAAACCCGTCCGAAACAATGAAATACAATCATATCTATCTTAATATAGAGCTTTGTTTGTGCGACAAATTGATAGTTCAATGTTACTTGGTTTAATCATATCAAACATCTCTCTATTCTTGTCATTTTCTAAATATGGCTCTTGTATTTTTTATTTATTTAATTCCTTCATATACTCTTCAATTTTTCTTAATGTGGCCCTTTTGACTTCTTTTCGGTCAATTTTTTTATTAAAATTGATAGCTAGCATTAAAAATTTCATGTAGCATTACACGTTAAACTATATTTGTATCTAGCCTTGGATAAACATTTGTATCTCGCTTATAAAATTTTGAAATCTCTGAATAATTAAGCTCTTTATTTTCTCCCAAAAGAAGATAAGGACTATTAACAGCATCTACAATGGGTTTCCATGCCTCAACTTGCTCCTTGGTCCTAATACTAGGAGTATTTAGATACTTGTACTTTAACAAAAATTTGTTATAGAAGCTCTCAAACCAAAAATATTTTTTACTAGAGTCTTTAAACAATCTATTATCTTTTGCTTGCTATTAAAAACATAAAAAACCAACATAATAAAATGTTAGGATTGTGAAGTGTCCTTGGAGGAGTATTGTTTTTGAACTGATTGAAGGAGATCAATCCTTTTGGCACCGTGGAGAAACTATCCTTTGGCAAACATGCTATGCTATCATTTTATTTGATGTAATGATCTTAGGCTAAAACTGAAATGGATTCTCAAATTAGAAGCACCATGAGTAGATGATTCAAGTCTTAGGGGATGCAATTCCAGAGACAATAGAACTCCTACCCATATGTCTTTTATTAACCTCATACTAGCTTAAAAACCCATAATTCCTAACATAATTACTTTGTGGAGTAACACTAACAGCTTCCAAATCAATCTCCATGGTCATATTAAACTTAGCTTTGCTGTTTTTTCTTGAAAATTTAAGTGCTGTTGGTTGGACTAAAGCTTTCATACCACAATAAAGACAAAGTTATTATCTTCTACATTTGTTAACACCCTCTTGAAGGTAGTAGTGATAGTATTAATCTTGTTCGAGAGAACAAGGAAAGAAGGATAATTAAGATCTAGGCTAGCATATTCACAAACAAAATTTGAAGCCTTGTGATGATTTGAGTCTATTGGCTTGTATAGTTCATTGCACGTAGGTATTAATGTGATCCTTTGGCTTTATATCGTACACCAGGCCAGGGTCTATGGCTTTGTTGGGATTTACATGCCTTGCTCCAAAATCAAGGGGTGTCCCAACAACTTCAGTGGTCATATCAATGATTCTACCATCTACATTGTCTGTAACATCAACAATTGTCGTTAGTGTTCATCAGATGGCAGCAAAACTCCAATCACGATGGGCGGTTTTAAGCAGTGCAGTTATCCCAGCTACATGGTTGGCTAAATCCAGTTAAAGTAATTACAAATAAGATAAAATCCAGCTCTATTCCTATATGAAAAAATGTAAATAAAATATAAGATCTTTAATTTCCTTTTCCATCAGTCATGGCCACCATGAGGAAGGCCTTCTATTGCAATTTTTTGCCCGTCAGAGTAAAAGAAGACGCAATGGCTGCTCGCAACGTGTCGTACCTGGTAACCTGTGCCCTAATCGAAATAAGAGACTAGCATCCAACACCGCACATCAACCACAACAACAGTCCATCACTAGCAATGAAGTTGTGACTACAAAGCTTATACTTTCTCATAACGAAATGTTTGAGCATGTTTTCAAGTATTGGACCTTGGACATTGCTAGTATAGAAAATCACTACTCTGAGGAATATTTTATCGAAACAGAGGAGAGAGAGAGAGAGAGAGAGAGGGAGGAGAAAAAATAAAATCATTTTTTTTTAATTTTTCACCGTAGTAAAAAAATATGATATGTCATGTCACATGGATTATTTTATTCTAACTGTTCGTTTTGATCAAAAAATGGATCAAAATGCAGTTGGAGGAGTCACATTATAAAAAATTAAAAAGTACAATAAAAGGTTGACTAAAAAAAAAAACTATAAGAGCCGTATTAAGAAAATGTCAAGAACAAATGGATGTATTGTGCGATTAAACCATGTTACTTTTCCTTTTGTCTGTTAAGTGCTTCAAATAAGGAATCTATTACTTCGTGTTGGCTTAGTTGGCAACTGGGTATGATTCCCACCTTGTCGAGGAAGGTTGGATTTCGAAGCTGAATTTGAAAATTTATTTTCTTAATTCCTATTTTTCTCTACATGATTTTGTTTTTAATGTATGAAGTATTGATCTTATTTCTGAAATAATATAAAATTTCTCTACTTAAATGATTTATTTATGACTACAGAAAAGTGAATTGCCTCAGAATAATTTGTGACAGTCAAAAAAAAAAAAAAAAAAAAGAAGAATATCTATGAAGCAAATTTTCTGCACCTGTCCTATTACTTACTAAAATGGATCCGCAAAATATCCTTAGTATTCGTGTGGTTTTTGGCGACTAGAATCTAGAGCTTGGATAGCTGTCATGAATTTTCTGGATGGGAAATTTGCTTGCATTGGAATTAGGATTACATACTACTCTTATATATGGATAGAGAGGAAAGATATACAGGTGGCATAGGGTTACATCGTGTAAGAAGTTAGAATTCGCCTAGCTTCCATTAAATCTCTGTCTCGTGTTAGAGCTGATAGCACAAATAGAATGGTATATATGGTCAAATAGATTTTAGTCTCGTCCGGCATCTTGAATAGCCCAAAGTTGGTTGCTTTTTATCAGTTTTTATTCTTAGGCTTCTAGGCTGTAGCAGAGTTGGACCCTCTGCCTAGTTTTCCAATATAAATAGTAGTTTACTTCTTTGATATATATATATATAAAAGAGAGAGCATCTGTCTTTGCTTTGCTTGGTTGCAACATACGAGGATCCTTTGTCCTTTATTTATGGTGGTTTCTGCACTATACTTACGTCGGAATCTTTTCTGCACCATTTATAGCCTGCATATAACGGCCGGTTTAACACACACACACACATATATATTATAGGACCTATTATAAAAATTAATTACACCAATCTAAATACATTATTGAAAAAAATTACCATTGAAAACTCAAGAATTGAAGACGCTATTCCGCATCCTAATTGTTGAATATTATGGCAACTATTCACTTTTAAACTTCACAAAGACCAATCTCTCCAGAGAAGAAAATTGGCAGCATGAGTAATTTTAAATGCAGAAAACCACATCCCACATTGAAAATGACACATGACAAACTGGCTGATTTCTTCTTCATATATACCGAACCTTTAGTTTGCAAACATCCGGATACCAGTCTAATCAGGCAATTCGAACAGATCATGAAAATTACCTCAAGTTCTAATAATGATAATACAATTGGAAGCCATCTTGATGGGCAGACACCAAACAGCAATTTTTAGTACTTGGTCACTAGTGCAGGTTCTAAGACACACCCATATCTTAAATAAAACACTAGCGAATGTAACCTTATATATCAAGAACTTGGCAACCGACAAGTTCAGCAGACCCAAAATCTTTACCGGCTATGACCTTCCAAACAACTGTTTCTGATGAGTCAGAATGCTCATGCAAGGACTCAGCAGAAACAGAAGTTGAGCTTAATGGGGAACCCAAATTATCTTGCACGTCAGCCTGCATAACTGCAATGTTATGATTGGCATCTTTTGTAAGGACATGAATCTTTCCATGAAAACCCGTGAGCAAATATGGAGATTCCGATTCTGTAAAATCAGCAACGGGGACTTTTCCAATGACAACTTTCCATGTATCTTCTTTCTGATCATATACCTTGATCTTACCACTGTCTGGAGAAGTAGACGGATCAAATGCATATAATTCACCATCTACCACCACACTCAATTTCGTACCCGCCTGCCGAGCAGGCCAGCCTTCTCCCATGCCAGTCGGCATGTCGGTCCATGAATTTGTTTCAGGATCATATATTTCTCCACCAACATCAACAATGAAGGGCCATGAGTATAAACTTTGAGGGACAAATAATCTTCCCATGTAAGAAGTCATCCCAGTGGCGATAGGCTTTAGCAGGTCAGACAAATAGGCAGTAGGCACCAATTGGGCTCTTGAGAATGGCATGCTTGGAACATCAGACCATGTACCCATGCAAGGGTCAAAAACTTCAGCAGATTGAAGAGGAGTCAATCCCCCTCGGCCCTGACTAACCCCCCCAACAACATATAGCTTGTTATTTAATATGCTCGTCTTACAGTATGCTCTACCTATAGACATGGAAGTCATTTTGCTCCATTCATTCAATATTGGATCATACCGCCATACACATCTCACAGTGGTAGCTCTAGAGAACCCACCAAGCACATAGAGGCATCCATCAACAGCTCCAATGGAACAACCACCAAATGGCATTTGGTCCAGCGTGTCCTTTTGCCCAAGCCAACTCCTTATGACTTCAGCAATTTTAATGCCTGGCCCAACCACGTTCCACAACCAAAGCCCAGAAAGTCCCCTTTTAGATTCTTCTGCACAAACAACATTCGGCATTGGAGGCAACCTCTGCCAATTTCTTGACAAAGGGTCCAAAGCATGCCATGATAGTTTATCTGCTTCATCCTTAATCAATACATATAGCCACTCTTCTGTTAATCCAAATTCTTTTCTAACTTTAAACAGCTCAGCACTCTCAAACGTTGTCTTCCACTTCCGAGACACCAACCTCATATTAAAGTAGCAAGATCTGGGGAGTCTGGCAAGAATCTGGATTGATAACTCATCAGGAAGAAATGGAACCAATCTTGGGCTCTCCTCGTCATAAAAAATTGAGGATGTCTTTTGCCTCTTGCAACTTCCATTATTTAACATCTCATTATAATCGCTGGTCCTGCATTTGGGACCAGCCAAACTCAAAACGCCCCCCATCAAGAAACCCTCAGCTTAGCAACACCAATTATGAACTTTTCAAATGCTGCAAAAAGAATGGGATATTTTTACTCCATCAAATCAGAAACTAGATCCACAAGATATCAGCAATAGTGAAAATTGAGCATTGGTACGAGGAGAACAGTTTTTAAACACTTTGACAATTCACTAGAAAATTAATCTTTAAATCTTCATAAATTAAAGAAAGAGCAGGAAGTATTCAAGTCAAACACTCACCCCAAATACAATTAGCAAGCAACATCAACAGATTTCATCGCCCTTCTACATAAGCATTAAACTAGCTAACAACACTACTAAAAAACAAACAAACAATTCAATCATTGTCCACTGATCCCAAAATCCCGAAAACTGCAATTACAACATTAAACCGCAAACCCAATTAAAAAATACCAAATCATAAGCAAAACCAGATCAAGAATTTCACATGAATCACGCCAAAGTCACAAACTTTTAATTTTTTAAAGCAGATTTCCAGAATTTATGAGATGTGCATTACATGGATCTTACGAGTAAAAAATAAAGAAATACTTGATAAAGATTTACCTTTGATGCAAGCTGAGAAAAAATGGAGCAGAAAGAGAGACAAATAAAAGTATCGCACGTAAGTCTGTATATAGATATTTTACATCTTTAGGTACAGTGTATGTATGTCATAATATTATGTATAAGTTTATGTAGCAGAAACGAATCAACGTTTTCAGGCTGCTGATTGGATTTTATTTATTTCTGTTTCTAAATCTGAAATAAAAATTACTCTAATTGTTGGATATTGAAACGTGGAATCGGATGACACGACTAAAGCATGGAAGGACTCTTTCCTTGACTTACTTGGAGTCAATTTATTCAAAATTTTGTTTTTTTTTTCGTTTATGTTTTCTTCTATATATATATATATATATATATATGGATTTTCTTAAGGCAAATCTCAAAAAAGGCACCCAACTATATAAGTTATCTCAATTTTACCCTCAAACAAAATTTTATTTTGTCACTCAAGCTTCATAAATTTTCAATTAAGACTTTTAATCCATATTTGACAATAAATCCTATTGAAAATTTACTATTTTTTTTTTATATACAAACAGCATCATTTAGTATTGAACTTAAAGTCTTTTAGTTAAAGAATTTCAACATAAGGATCCGATTAAGAAATAAAAAATTTTGGGTTTAAAATTTATATAAAAAATTATTTAGAGACAAAATTTATGCTGCCCCAATAGTCGGGGGTTATACTTGAGGTTAGCCCTTTTAAATTGGACCCATATTTTGGATCCTTTTGACAGTTCGTTCGATTCTATCCAGGGAGAATGTGGACGTTGCTTGTTTGTGAATATAGGAATACGGGATTTGGGCCAGATAAATCTAAAGTTTGAAACTTGTTTGTGGGCCAAACCAAATTTTGTTAACAAATTTCCCGAGTTTCTGACAGGATGGCTTTAAAATTTGACAAAAGAAAACCATAAGCCTGGGCCATGGACACACCTATGCAAGCGACGCTTCCTTTGGCTCAACATAATTTTTTTTGATGGGATTAATAAAAGAATAGTTTCGTTAGTTTTGATTGTCTATTTAGTGGAAAACTGTACTAGAGACATTGAAATTGGATTTTCTATTCGTATCTATCGATACTTGAAGCAAGCCGTGACTGTAAGTCAAATGATATGCAAGTATATGATACTTATGTTCCTTACATAATTATTAGACAATCTGGGCTCAAGACTTCATGATGCCCAAAACCATCAGAAATATTGGTCTAAAATGATTATAGCTAAATATAGTCCACATGAGCCATAACCATCTGAAATGTTAATGTCTAGAAAACCAGAGTTCACACAAGAAACTAACAGCGGAAGAAAATTACATGCGTATCAGGATTAAAGAAAGAGTTACAGCAACACTTTTTTTACCCCTAACTTCTTATACAGATGCATGCATAGGGAGTATTGGGCTGTCCCAGATCAACCGAATGGCTGCTCAACATTCTTTCTCCCGTCATCGAAACTCACTAGCAAGTAGTACTAGCTATTGTTTTTACTGACCAGAATATGAATTAGTGCTACCGCTGGTTAGCTGGTTAATTTACGTATACTAATTAATCAAGCTAAACCACGGTTGTCATTGGATAACAAATATTACCGAAGTCCAAAGGAGCTGAACCCGAGTGAATATTCATACATTCACCTGCAGCATTTCGATGGACATTGGAATTGCAAGGTAGATTAATTTCTGATATCATCCTACCCCCGTAAGTAAAACACTTGCGTAGATCTCCACAATTTTTACTCCCATTCTTCAAACTTGATTTAGGCAAAGAAACCGATGCTGTCGCTAATTTCTCACTCTTTACCTCATCGTCCACCGCCTCATCACTGTCTTTTAATTTACCAACATAATCATCACTTGCAATTTCAATTTCTTGATATGATTCTCTTCCTTCTTCTTCTTCATGAATAAATTCCTGATCTGAGCTTCTCTCTGTTTCCTTTTCTTCAAAAAAATCAAGACCTTGAAGCTCTTCCTCCTCTTCATCTTTGCAAACAAAATGGGAACATGTTACCTTATCATCTACGGGTACAAGATTCAAAACGAGGCGACCATTTTCCCTGTGTGCTTCAAAATACTCATGATGCTTCACTCTCTCTTCTATGAGAACCAGCTTGCCATCAATGTAGTGCCTGGTTAAAATCCAAGGCATATGACCAGGCAAATTCCTCGTTCGTGCAAGCGAAGGTATTGGTGGAGGATATTCCTTTCTCATTGCATAACGTTGTTTTCTCTTGCCTTGATTATGATAAGCTTCTAGTATCTCCCTTCGTCCTATTTCCTCTTCAATATTGGAGTTCATGCAAACACCACTCTCAGCCCCAATCAAATCATCCAGTGCAGAAGAAAAAGAGGAGTATGATGAGGCTTTAGTGAGCGATCCAAGTAGAGGTTGAGAAGTAGTCGACGATGGTGCTGACGGTGCAGGTATCATGTAGGAATGAAGATGGTAGCATGGATGAGTTAGGTTTGGATCAAGTCCTTGCGATGAGTAATGTACCAGATTTTTTAGACCGGGATAGGCTGACCATTCTTTTGGGAATCGCATGGGAGATGGCGACGTTGACGTCCACAACATGATTCCGAAAAGAGTTGAAACGACAGATTTAGCCTTGCAAACTAAGTTGCTTTCCATGAAATCCATATGACAAATCGGCTAGCTGCCCCTAGCTAGCTGTATGTGTACTTGAGGTGGCGAAAAAAGAAAGGGCTAATAATTAAGCTTGTAAGAATTTCTTAATTTCCTGCTACTGCAAGACAAGAAAAAAGATATTAATAAGGTTGCGGATGACTCCAATTATATCAATGAAACAAGAGTTTTTTTTTTTAAAAAATATTCTTGGGTATTTCAGTTCTGTTTCTAATGAAAAAGACAATCTGGAATTGTCTGTTTTTGACTTTCCACGTGGTGAAGGTGATATTTATTATTTATGTACGATTAGGTGCTGCAAGTGAAATCACTTGGGATGACTCCAAACGAACTTACTTCAAAATTCGCTCTTCCATAAAATAAAAACTTTTTTAAAAAAAAATTACACATCTAAGAATCCTAGTAAGATTACTCTAATAATATTTGAATACGTAATCTTTTATGGTAAGAAACCATAATTATTAAATTATAAGTTTTTGGTAAAAAAAATATAAACCCGAAAGGATTATAATTAATTAGTTCCCTTATACCATAACAAAAGAAGAAGAAGAAGAAGAATTAAGAAAGGATTAAGGGAGGAAAATGGCTATATATATTCTCTTCTGTAGATCGAGATTTAAGATCTCTTGAATGGAGGAGTGCTAGACAGAAAAAGGAAAAACAAGTGGTTCATATGTTGGTGTTAGCGGTTGGCCGATCCGTTTAGTAGCTAATTAACATAGAAACTAAGTTTCGGAGTTTCCCTCATCTCCCTATTGTTTTTTTTTTTTTTTTATCTCTATTATAAAGGAGGAGTATGAATTACAATCTCTATTAAGAGAATGGGAACTAAAAAAGGCATTTAAAAACATATACTCTGGATATTAACTTCCGCTACAAAACAGATTACTTGGTCAAGGATAAACTTCTGTGCCTCTGTAAAACAGTACTCGCTGGCTAGCTGTATTCATTTACAAATAATAATAGAACAATAATGAATATTCTTTTGGCCAAAAAATGCTTTTCTAAAACGTTTCTAGCTATGCAAGACATTGTTCGGAAAAAGAAACCCGCCATTTATCATCAAAGATCATTGTTTTTATCGAATCTTGAATACTAGTTGCAGGAAAATGGAATGGAAATTTATGTGGCCCTACCGCGCAGCAGACAGCTTCTCTTTTGTTGACACGTCGGTTTTGTTGTTCTTTTTAAAGCGTTTTGACTGCAGGAAAGCAAAATTTACCATGGAACACCCCTTATCTCGATATTGGTTTTTTTTTTTGGTGGTTTTAAATCCTCGTCTATGTTAGAATCTTAAGATAGATTAATCTATTCATATAGAAAAGAAGACAGTATATCTTTTAAATTTTTAGGTTAACTCGGCTTCGATCTTAAGTCAAATGAATATCTTTTATGGTTAAGTTATTGTCTTCAAGGAGTTCGATGGTTACAGTTTTGGATTTTTTAGGTCGTCTCATCAAACCCCCTTATGAATACCACAGGGTTTACGGACAGAAAATATTATCTTTACTGTGTGGACATAATTATCTCAGGGTTAATAGCAAATAGTTTATCAAAAAAAAATTATTATAGTTTTTTTTTTAAAAAAAAAAGGGAACGAGTTGAGCGAGTACATTGAGAATATTAACATACATATATTTAATGATTTTTTCACAATTAATTTTCAAGACATTCTAATAAAAATGTACTCTAAATATATCAGATAGATATTTAAAGCATCTAGAGAAAATGTAAAAAGAGAAGAAGGGTGGCTTACATTACTTGTGCAGAAGATGCGTTAGTCCCATTTTCTCCTTGCTAGGCAATTAGTCCATACATTCGTAACTTGGAGAATGGGTGGGGGGAGAGAGAGATTATGAAGACTGAAAGACACTAAAACTCTCTCAACTGGAAAGAAAACCCTCCGCTTCTGTACAATCGTTTCTACCATGGGGTCCCTATTTATAGAGAACTATAGGATCATTATACTACTACTATTTTCAAGAACAGTTTCTGTACGAGACCCTCTAAGGGGCAATATAGGCAATGTAACTATTAAGTGAAACGGATGGCTTATTGAACTTTGGATTATCTGCAACCGATGTTTATCCAAATTCAGCAATTGACGCTCGTTTTTTTTGCAAATCAAAATAGAAACAGATCATTTATGAAGCCATTGGTTGGTGCTGAATGATTGGTGGGCTTCTTGATACTGCATCGAAATTTTTACAAATATCGCTCAGGTAAATATCGATCAACAGATTTTGTCTGGTTTTATATCCCTCTGGCATCCATGTTTGATGCCAAGTCTGGTACTCCTTCTTTCACCACTGACAGCCTTTGAAGACACGTATATCCCTTCATATTTGTACTATACTTGGGTCTACATGTAAAATAATCTAGACTCTTCTTGACTCTGGGGCGGGACTATGCTTGCTTCAATTTGGCATGCGAGGAGGCCATGGCACCCTCGAATATTTAAGAATATTACATTTTAGTCGTATCATTTTGGAAATTTTCATATGCTTCAATTTAATTAGGCCTTATTTTGTAAGAACGTCCTCGAACCTAAAAATCATGTATTATGTCTATGATTTTCATCCTTCATTATTTTGTCTTTAATTTGACCGTTTATTGGCTTATTTCAAAATATTAGAGTTTCGCTACTCTTGATATATATATATATATATATGTAATTCTTTTGTTTACTAATAATGTGGTCGTATAGATATGACTTTACTCCTCTTAATTATGTCAATTTTGTTTTCTTTTCTTCCAATCTTTCTCTCATTTCCCTTTGTTCTTTGTTCTTTCTTAGTCATCGCAGACGATTTTTTTATGAGTGTCAACCTTTTATCATCCTAATTCTCTCTTGTTTTTTTAAGCATTAGCAATTTAGATTTAGATTTAAATTTTAAATTTTTATTTTGTAGACAAAGTCCCTAATTTATTAGGATATATTATCTTTAGAATAAGGTTTTAATGCCATTTCAATGGGTTGTAGTGGGTGCATGTTTCTCATTGGCTGAGAGAAATTGATATTTTTTAATAATTTTGAAGCTTGGAGATTTTCGTTGATAGAAACTGATCCATAATGCAGTCTTTTCCACATTGATGTATGACGGCGTGAAAAAAAGTTTCATTTTGGGCAGCCCTTATCTCAAAGTTTTAATGAATTTTTATTGACACCAATGAAGAGACTATTTACTACTTGAAAGATTATTGTTTATCATTACTGTAAAAAAAAAAAACATTATCTAATTTTTTAATGTAAAAACTTGGAATTCCCTTCTTAATTTTTGGTATCTGCTGTGCCATGAAGATATTAAAGTATTTGTTTGACTTATATCATTAACAAAATTACTATATTTTATATTTTAAAAAAAACCTGTAGATCGCCTAATTAATGATCACGTGCTTGACAAAAGGGTTATGCACTTTAATTGCACGCGTACGTACATTTCAAAAGACTTCTGTCAGACTTATTATATTGGAATCGAAACTTAGAATGTCTCTAAAATAGAACTAGTAATATATATATTAATGACATCAAAATCAAGTTGCTCCATGAAAGTGTATGCAAGAAAATGGTTGGATTATCTATTAAATGAAATCCAAAACCTTCGAAGAAAATTAGGACGGTTGTTAGAGAAGACAGAGGCTTGCAATGCGTCGTTTCGCCAACTTTTTTTTTTTACCCTCCAGCAGTCAGCCCTATCAAGCCTAGTCTTTGTGCATGCGGGCTTTACTTCGCAGGCCCAGGCGCAATCGGGCCTGGCACACCTGACCTTTTTTTCTTTTAAATTTATTTGTTTTTATTTTATTTATTTTTTCCTATTATTGTGTTCTCTCTATTGCCAAAAATGCTTAGGTTTTCATTTCCATTGAAAAAAATGATGAAAATTATGCATGATATAAGCAATCATTTTGATGCAATGTTAATTGTCAGTAGAAGGCTAAAATCAAGTGCATGAAATATTCAATAAGAATAAAAATATTATTTTTATTTGATAATTTTATACAACTTATTAAAATTAATTATATAATTTAGTTTTCGAATACAATATCATAAAAAAACTAAGGCATCTTTTTTTTTCAACTTGGTATTTAAATTATTATGGTTTTCCAATACAATCTTGTAAAAAGAATATTAAGGCATGTTTTTTTTTTTAATCTTTTTTCATTTCAACCTGCCCTTTAAATTATTATCCATTTTTATTTAAACATCCTATAAAGGAAAATAAATCATAATTTTTAGAAAAGAAAATTTATATAAAAAAAATCATAAAGAATCAATTAAATATAACATTTTTAAATAAAAATCATAAATTTAAATGAAAATTTCTTCTTCTTCTTTTTTTTTTTTTTTCTATTCGAAATATTTTAGTGGATTCCCAGATACGGTGGGAATAAAACGACTACAGTACGAGCGGCTGAGAGCAGTAGCAATTTTTCGATAACGACAAATTCGAACCATTGTTCCTTTCTTGTTGTATTTGAAATAACCAAGATCTCCTAGTGTCTGATTTGGTAAAAAAAATTGTCCTATATTGAAAGAGGAGAAAAGAGGAAACACATGGATTTGTATTTGTCTGTTGTCACCATAAAAAAAAAACATAGAGTAAATTATAAATGAGTTCCTCTGGTCTTGTAAAACAAATTAAATAATCTCGCTTGTTTTAATAATTAAGTAATTAATTATTGATCATAATTAATTTAATATTATTTTATTTTAAAAATGTATTTTTTATCAATCTTTTTATATTTTTTATTTGATTTTCTATTTATTAAAATAAAAAAAATAATGCAAATGATTAGATTATTGAGTTTTACATCTGAGTGGAGAATTTCACATCGATTATAAATAAAAAATTTATAAGTGTTTACATATAAAATAGACTCAACTTATTGGTAGGTAACCCTCTAAGTGTGGATTTCTCGATAGCAAA